ATTTGGATTGGGAGTTAAAAGACAGCTCTAAGTATTTAACATTTTCCTAAACTGCTCTTCAAATTTCATTAAAGTATGAACTATTTTACTTCTTTACTACTTTACATTTACCTTGAAGCAGTGGAAACTAGTAGATTCTACAGTGTACCAATACACAGAAGCAAGAAGCAAAAGCATATTTATAGTAAAACTGAAGCCAGTGTATCTTACATGTAATAAATCAAAACTATATGCAAGTTATTTTAAAATTCACCTAATTCAACCAGAAMGTCAAATAGCTTTAAATACTACCCATACTATATGTGAGAACATTAGAACTTTAGAGGTATGTCCCTTTTAATTGTAGTTCAGTTACGAAAAGTATAAACAAGAGAATATTGTGGGATGTCATCTGACTTTTCTACAGTAACCACTGCATTCTTTTTTGGCAAGAGGTCTTTTTCCAAATTGTCACCTTTACAAARCCAACATGAACTTTTGTTCATAAAGTCCATCTCTGTTAGTGAGACCCCCTAAGCTACCCCTTCATGTAGGGCTGATTATCCGAAGTGTTTTCAATACTCCAGRTGCAAATGGACACTCAGCACATACCTTTGTGAGGGTAACAAGGATCTGTCACATCACAGCAGTTATCTCTAATTATCATTTCAAAGTTGTCCCAAAGTAAATCCTGTCCATGTTTCCACTCAGAAGTTCTATACCAGTGCCCTGAAACATTCCCTAAGCAGGCAGGTTAATTCTGTAAAATTGCATCAGCTTCAGAATTCATTTTGCATTTCTGACAGTTGTACAGTACTGAATCATTTGTTTCTTGAACAGACACTCACAACAAATTATAAATTGAAAAAACAATCCAACACAACAAWTTTTTTAAGCCGTTTTCATGGCACTTTTAATTATGTTATATTCCGGTTTACAAGAGAAAGAAATCCCGCACAGTGGTATTCCTGGGGTGGTCCTGTGCAGGGCCAGGAATTGGACTTTGATGATCCTTATGGATGTGTTCCAACTCAGGATATTCTATGATTCTATGTAATGTATTTCAATGGTAACTCAAGCCAGTTTTGGCTTCTGTTTGTCAATGACATTTCTGGGTTTGTACTTGTGCAGCTTTTGGACTGTACTTCATGTAGATTTACTCATATTTCTCAATGAGAGTCATAGAAACCGATCTTTTCTGACTTGCCATGGCTTGAAGGAAGAAACAGCAGTGAAAAGTGCATTTACCTCCAAAACAAGCTGATACACTGTCTATACACATCACCTTGTATGACAAAGCTCCATTTTTGCAGAATGATGTTACCTGGATCTAKGAAGAGGCTCAGGCAGTGTCTGAATGCTCACAATTCATGTTGCACCTGTATTTATAAGCAGAACTGTGCTCATMGAGCCTTTGCAGCCAAGTTCCTACCAGCCTTGGAAGGCTCTTTGTGCAAATGAGATTACTAAACTGCAAGAACTTTTGAAAAGAAAATGAGCTGGAAATTAAAACCATGCTCAAGGCATGTGTSAAAGTCATTTGGGCTAACAAGTCTGTGTTTTCAACTTAAAAACCTCCAGTCAGATATATACAGTACAAACCTGGGAACATAGAGCAGCAGTTACACAATGGAAAGTCTGTGACTATGGTGTCAAATAATAGCAGTTTTTTACATTAGTGCAGGGTTCTTGATCATAGACAATCTATCATGATCACAGAAAAAACCTTAAACCCCCTTTAAAAAAGGGAAAACCTTTTGCCAAGGTGATCCGGTTTTCGTTAGATGAAGTACTGCTGTCAGATTTGGACAAATCAAGAGCTAAATTTTTGTGCTTCTTGATTTCATTCCTCCCTTGTGTTCACATTTTCCATTTGAAATGTGTCCCAGAGGTTCTATTTCACACTGTCCATCTATATGCTATTAAGTATTAAGAGTCTGATACTGTTGCCTTCTAAGTGGAGTTTTGCCATGGACTAAGCTCAAAGGAACTGGGTTTCTGGTTAACTTCCAGCCCTGACAGCAAAGACTCTGTGTCAGGCCTTTCACAAAAAGCTGCATTTGGATRTCTTAGGGCTTTCCCAGGCTCTCACAACAAAGCAGTGTCATGAGTAAAAATATAAAAAAAAACTTACTAATTATAAATTCTAGGTATCCTTTTTTAGATTCAAGATGTGTAAAAGTAATTGTCTTTATAAGCAGAAGTTTTCCCAGTGCATATAGGGGCTGTCAGAAATTCAAAGGGTTGCAACATCACCAATATGGTCTTGTTCCATTGCTGAGTTGTTTTAGTACATGTTAGAGTTGGTCATTTGTAGTAACTGCCCTTGGTTCTTTCTCCTCACCTATCTCCGATTAGAGGTCATATCTCTCAATCTCTGAGGCTGCTTCTTCCTACTGGAAGAGAGAATGATGCAAACATACCACATGTGAACAGGAATGGAGTCACCACATTTGTTAACTTGATTGACTCATCTGACCTTCTCTTTGGTGCCTTTACTCACCTTTAGGCCAGTCAATATTTACTCATTCCTTCTGACTAACTCCTCAGTCCTGACAAAACTGCTAAGACATACAAGGAACTGGGGAAACAGAATAATTATGTCCTTAAGGCTCTCAAAATTAGAGAAAAGTCCTGAAATGCTACTAAACAAACATGTCATCGATTTTGACAAAAACTTAGGAGCAGGCTAATTCCTGTYACATGTTTGCGCTGGAACCTTGTAAACTAGCTTAGGAAATAAATCTCAGGATAAATTTTTCCTTGAATTCCTTCTAGCAATGTMTTTTCAAAAGAATTCCTTACATGCATCTGTAACTTCTTCTCAGAGCGAGTGGTTTACTAATAGGTTCTGAGGTGGAATAATTCAGGGCTTCTGACTGTCCAGAGTTTCTTCAAACTTGACAGTTTTACAAAGGAAGTAAAAAATAAGAGGAATGTTAGGAAGTGAATGGTGCTCTYAAAGCCAAATGATTTTGACTGAGAGGATAGGATGGGTGAGGTGTATGAACTGGTATGAGGAAATAAGATCATACTAAAACCAAGAAACCCCAATTAGATATTACTTCTCAGAATATAAAAGTAACCTTAATTTTTGCTTTAGTTTATATTGTTTTGTTTCRTTTTTAAAAAATCATTAAATTTAGTGTATCCCCCCAGGTCTGCATGGAGTAGGGTTGGGAGGGGTTCAGTGCAGTGTCCTGCACCTTAGTGATGGAAGAGATCAGTTATTCCCCAGCTTAATTAATTYGAGTCAGAATTGGAAAGATGACTGTGATAGCAAGGTCCAGGCCTGCTAAGTTAAGCTTAGAGTTCCGTAAATTACATGGATTTCACGATCTTATCCTTAACCCCTTTTCTGTTTATCTATCTGAATGTTTATCTATCTATCTCTCTGTCTCAATTTATCTTAATTTTAAACCACATGATTCACCACTGATGCTAAGGATCAGACCTACTCTCTTAAGAATCCAGTCTGGTCACTCTTATCATCTCATCCTTTATCTCTTATGACGTATCTTGTTTACTCATTGCACACAGGTAAATACTTTTTTACCTCACTGACTAATTAATTCACAGTGAAGTTTCTTGCTCTTTGCTGTAATGCGTATTTTGTATAAATGGGATTTTTCTAAGCAGATGTATTTTGTCTGCTTTTTTTAAGTGTGTAAGAAAAAGTAGAAAAGATTTGCCTTTTTTCAGTGAAGATCTGACTTTCTGAAGGAATACACTACAGGTTGGTTAGCCAAATGCAGAATCCTGTGGCTCATAAAAAGGAGTGTTTCTCTTCCATGATCATGATTACAAGCTTTTAAAGGGGTTTTTAAATGGAATATGGGGGACATTAATGGGGATAGAGGAATGTGTCAGTGTTCAGGGGATAAACACAGGTTGTATTGCTCATGTTAAGCTGAGCTAATGCTTGTATGCGACACAGACAAGTTTTGTCCACTCACGTGGTGGACAGAAATACATGGAGTTACACCTGGTAACTCATTCCTTCTCTGCCATCACCTCCTTTGGTGCAAGCATTTGGATAACATAAGCTCTGATCACACCTAAATTACAACCATGGATAACGCAGARTTGTCTTGGAAAACACAGCAAAATATGGGCTTGTAAAGATAACAAAATCCTTGCTATAGAGAGAATCAGCACAGAGGGTTAGGGCCAAAATTCTCCAAGTCAAGTGCTAACACTGCACCATTGGTGAGTCCAGAGCTTCCAGCTCAAGGTGGGAGCTGCCAAATAACTGACAGGTCTATGTGAAWCTCCAAAAGCAAAATTCCTTGAGATGGAGTTCAGAATGCCTGAACTGTTCTGGCCAGCTGTCTGCCTCAGTAAGCGAGCAGAGGCAAAGATCAGCACTAAGCAAAAAGCCTTGGAATCATCCTTCAGACCTATTCCAAGAGCAGAACCACTGCAATTCCTGACCATGGAGACTGCAGTCCAGCACTAAGCAAAAAGCCTTGGAATCATCCTTCAGGCCTATTCCAAGAACAGAACCACTACAATTCCTGACCATGGAGACTGCAGTCCAGCATGAAGCAAAAAAGCCTTGGAATCATTGTTCAGACTTATTCCAAGAGCAGAACCACTACAGTTCCTGACCATGGAGACTGCAGTCCAGCACTAAGCAAAAAGCTTGGAATCATTGTTCAGACCTATTCCAAGAGCAGAACCACTACAATTCCTGACCATGGAGACTGCAGTCCATCAAGGCCACTCTTCTGTAGGCTGTAAAGTAGGGGTGGTATCATCCACTCTTGCAAAACACCCCAGAGAGCTTTTCAGGCCCATAATCAGATAAAATAAAGCACATTTGCAATTCTGGAATATACAGAAGAAGGGCGTTTCCTAGAAGAGACTGCTACCTATGAGTTTGGATCATGCCACCTGCAGTTGTCACAGCCGGATGTTTGCAGCACCTGTCAGCCCTACCTGGAGGAGGAGGGCAGGRGCAATGTGATATGCAAATGGCTTCTTTTAGTCTGGAGGATATAAATACTGAGAGAATCATATCAACAGTGTCCAATTATTCCCAGAAAAGAAAAATGGAATCCTATTATATTCTGGCTTTAATAGCAGGAATTTTAGTTACTTTTGTATTGCTGGTTTTAATTGCATCTGATGATAATTTCCTCAAGGCACAGATTTCTCCTGATGTTGACCAGCCAGCAAAGCTCCGCTTGTATCACTATTTGTACGCTCTGAYGGAAATTCTGGTGAGTTTATCATGCTCTGGGATGCTGGAATTTTCAGGAAAGCAAAAGCGTGAGTATGAAGATATGCATCTAAATATTGCAACTRCATGTAATGGGAAGCATACAGTAACACAGATTTAAAGGCCAAAAGTAGATTCAGTTTCTATAACTATATATAAAGCAGCCAGGATGAGGTGAGTTCTTTTAAATGCTGAGATATCCATTCTTATGCTGCAGCTATAGATTTCTATAATGAAATTACAGGTCCTGTGGATGACAGGAGGGCTGTGGATATCATTGACATGAGGAATAATAACCCAGATTTCTGTATCTCAATGCACTCTGATATATGCAAGGCAATTTCCTAAATTTTGKGCTATCTGCAGTAATTTTCTTGCCCTTGATTCTGTTGTTATTCTGCAGTGACTGAATTACTGAGTTTTAGATAGCACAGAATCAGGTTGGTTGGAAGACACCTCCAGAAGTCATCTGTTTGAACCTCCTGCCAAAGCAGGTTCAGACTGTTACCATTTATTATTTAAGTACCTGTAGGCCAGACTTACTGTGCTGTGGGCTTTGCCATCACAGAAAGAAACAACTTTTGCCCAAAAAGCTTTCAAAGTTGGCAACAGGAGTATGTAGGAGCAGCCTAAGCCCTGTCATGTGTGGCACCTAACATGTCAAAAGAAAGCCTGCAGGAAAATCACAGAGAGCTTTCTTTGATGTCTGTATGAAGCTTACCTCAATTCTCTAATCCCCACTTACATAGAAAGAATGCAGGAACTCTGGGCCACATTCTGAGAGGTGATTTGGGCCATTGCCATCTATTAAAGACTTAGGTGGGTTGCTTGAACTTCCACAGCAGCACTCACCAAATCCAGTGGTTGTGCCTGGTTCTSCAGTGGTACCTTTCTGCCTCTCTTCTTTCTGCCTTGTCTGCCACGAAAGAAGAGTCTGCTGTCTTTGCCTATCTCACACTGCTCTTTGTGTTACATAATATATAAACTTAATATAATAATATGACAGTAATATTATAATAGACAATGTTATTAAATTCTCTCATTTCCCTACTTGTGGGTGAAAAGATTCTTTCAAGTAACACTTTTAACCCATTTTCACAGCTTTTAAGTGTCTGTTTTGCACTAAGTACATATCCTCTCCTCACAGATAATAAGTTCCCCAAGCTTCACGTTCCTTTTCCTGATTAGCTTTAAAGAGGCATTTCACTACTTGCTATGCATTGAATACACTCAATRCCTATTTTTCTTTCAAAAGCCTTTAGGCATCTGCTGGTACTTTGGAGGAGGAGCCCTCACAGTAAGGACTTCACAGGTTTTTTATGTGAAGTTTTTTACATTTTATGTATGACGTGCGCATTTAACTTACCCTCCTTATCCTGATAAACGCTGCTCTTCCTATGCCATCATCCTGTGCCATCACTGTGCCAGTGATGTGTCTGTACTGGATGCTCCTGTAAAAACCTCCTTTTTTTTACAATACAGGACAGTCTTTTTTCTTCCACCTTACTTGCAATATATGTTTTAGAAAAGCTGTGGCACCAGACAGATGTGCACCTTCAACCAGAAGGCACATAAATGATACTCTTGCTGCATCTGTCCACATCCCCTGTCATAAGGAGATCAATGACCATCTCAAATGGAAGAGAATAGAGGAAGCCTCCTGGCTTTTGTTTTAAGCTACTCAGACAGATCTGTGTTCAGACTAACTGCATATTGCAATGTAATTATGAAGCTTTGATGATAATTACTGTGGTTGGAAAACCACACTTCAGAGTGACTGACAGAAAGACTGTCTGATGTAGTCCTAAAGTCCATGAAGCTCAAATTGAGTCGGTTTTTCTGCTTTCCGTATGTGATTTCATTATTTTAAAGTAAAAATCTGGTCCCCATATGATCTTCTACATAAAAAGCCAGTTTGTGCCAGAATTTAGGTGTTCCAGCAAATAGTTTTTCAAAGACCCTCTTTCACTAAAAGAGCCAACATGCTCTTTTTCATACACATTGCACATTCTAGGACCTGGTTTATGTAATATCTTTCGCCTACTAATACTGATCACATCTGTTCTAGAAATAGGCAAACCTTTCAGGTTTTGAGTATATTGCTATAGGTTCTGAAGTATTTTCTAATTACTGGTTAAAACGTTTTTCAACAGACTACATACCAAATTCYATGTTCTCCTTCATGACAGTGCTTTCCCTGAATTTGGAGATGCTTCCGTGACATCAGGAACTCCTAAGAAAAGGCAAGGAAAGAGGATATTTAGATAGGATGCTCTGACACCAAGTTTATCACATATGTTACTGTCATCTAAAAGCTCTGTAAAAACTCAAGGATGTTAAAAAAGCCAAATCAGATTAAATGGCAATTCTGTGAACTTCAACAATTCCAAAACCATAACTCTGACAAAAGGACTGACTGAAGAGTCACGAGTGTTTTGAAAATTGCTGTTTGGAGAAGACTAGATTCACCCTGTGGTTTCTGCCACCATTGCCTTGGGTCTTATAGTACTTTTCCCCTTTGCCATGATACCTAAAAATGTGCTTTTTTAAATGTAAGGCAAGAACTGTGGCCATCCATGTGTCTCTTAAACCACCTCATCCATTGCTGGCTTTTGTGGCAGTGTTATGAAAAAACTCCAGATCATCTCTGGATTCCCATTTTTGTTTCCAACTGMTTTTCTCTCTTCCGTGGCTCATGGTAGGTACCTTTATTTTCCTCACCCAGCTTGTTTATTGCAGATTGGTGTAGATTATTAGGAAGAAAGAATCTGTGATACCATTTCCACAAGCAGAACTGGCCTTTAGTTTGTAAGGAATTGATACAGAGATTTCTGTGGCTTAGAAAAGAACATACAATTTGCTTGTGAAATGGCTTGAATGATTATTATCATTCCAGAAGAATGAATTGCATTAGTCCAAAAAGGCATTTAAGTCACCGTGTAATGAGAAGGGAAATGTTGTTCTTGCAGGAAGTACATTCCTTACAACATGTGTTCAAAGTAAAGGAGGATTTCAGCATGATCTTTAGACTATCCTCATTATCAGCAGCTGACTGGCCTTGGATAAGGAAATGTTTTGACACATTTAACAAASCTTCCCTGTTTTCAGAATATTTGGGGTTTTTTGCTGATTGAACATAAAAAACTGACTGCAGAGTAATTTATGAATAACTATGAGGTCTTGACAAAGGCAGTAGTTTCACTGATGGAGGATGATCTAAGATTCAGAATCATTGTCATCAGTTTCTCATTTGTGCCAGAAGCCCCTCAGTAATGATTACAGACACAATGATTTTCTTAGAGCTTGTTCTCCCTGACCCCATGGCAGGGAGATGGCCCAACACCAGTAAATCACCCAGTCTTGTCCGCACACTGGCCTGAGTCTTTTCCTCCCAGTATGATAGTCCTGTCATGAGAGGGACATTTTCATCTCACCTAACCTTAAATACTTTAACTGAGGCATCTGCAGTACAGTTTATAATCCAGAGACATGAAAAGACACCTCCAGAGCATGATTTGATGTATGATAACACACCTGGAATKGGAACCATCCTCAAGAAATGCCTCTTTCTATTCACTCATTTGGAAAGGAGCCTCAGGCCTCTCACCTTCCACACCTGAGCAAATGCTTGTTGTTACTTGTGGTAAATCCAGATCACAGGAATTAGAAAGCATTTATGTAAGATATTTAATGGAACAAGTATTACAACATTCTTCCAGCAATCACGAAGATGAAAATTTTCATTTTCTTAACTGAAATCCCAAAGACAGCTATTTGTAGGAAACCTAACAACTAGCAAATAATTAACCCAATTATCCTAAATGTAGTATAGGGAAAAGTAGCTTGTGGCTTTTACAGAGTAAGAAGACTTGTACTCCCTGTAGTAATTTCTCATTTTTCCTGTTATATTGATCTAGTCAAACAACTTAAGCCGCATGGGTATTGTAAAGGAGCACACACTTGTCAGGCTGATCACAGGTGGACTCCCGGCATACTGGGACTCTCRGCTCTTCATCAAGGATCTGAATTTTGATGGGGTGCCTGTGAGGATTTACCTCCCAAGAGAACCATCTGCAAGCAAACGGAGAGGAGTCATCTTCTTCCATGGAGGATGTGGCATTTTTGCAAGCATCAGTAAGGAACTGAAAGAGAAAATAGAAGTATTTAGCATTGTTAACTCCCTATTTTTAGAAACTCCTGAACCTAAGAAGTGACTGAAGCTTAGTTTGAGAATGGAAGATAGAAAGCACTTAATGTTTATTTTTACTTTTCAAACTCTCTAATCTGCACTTACTTAGTATTTGAATTATTTTTATAKGATATAGCACTCTTTATCATAGAACCATTAGGATCATAAAATGGTTTGGGTTGGCAGTGAYCTTAAATRAAATCTTGTTCCACCCCCTGCCATGGGCAGGACACCTTCCACTATTCCACATTGCTCCAAGCTCCATCCAAYCTGGCCTTGGATACTTCAGGGGTGGGGCAACCACAGCTTCTCTGGGCAMCCTGTGSCAKGGCCTCACYACCCTCATWATAAAAATGTGTTCCTTAAATGCAAATAAATTCTACCSTCTCTCASTTTAAAACCACTGCCCATTCTCTAATAGTAATAACCATCATAATTCCTTATTTTTCACACAGATCAACAATCTCCCTAATCTCTCCTAGTATGAACTTCACAGTAAATCCTGATGACCAAAGTCTACATTGTTCCTATTCTATAGAAAATTTGGGTAGTCACTAAATAGAGAAGCTGCCCACAAGCAATCATGGTAATAGGTCATAAAAATGTAAGGGACAATATTGACTGAAGTTTTCTAAGATGTTAATTTTCATCAACATTTGTTCTTCAGGAACTTACGAAAGAGCATGCCGATACTTAGCCAGAAAATCTGATTCAGTGGTTGTGTCTGTTGGGTAAGTGAGATCAAACCAGTGTTAATCCCAAAATCAGAGAATTCTGCTTTCCCCCTGCCTCCCACACATCCCTGAACTTAAATTTCTTGGAATATAAGAAAAGAAACTGAGCTCTAGTGCCATCTTTACCATGCTGCTGCTGCATGGGAGCAAGTGTGGGCCTTGGAATGGCAATGGAAATACCTGATCCAGAGTYAGAGTTACAGATTTGTTCATTCCCCATCCCCATCCCATCACAAAAATCATTGCCTTTGTTTTACGATAAGAGATTAAAAGCCCAATATCAAGTTTTAATATTTGAGGGGAGTATTTAAAATCATCTGGGATGATTGTAAAGAGTAAGTAACTATAATAAAATTTACTATTTTTTAAAACCAGCATGGACCACTGCTTCCTTTCTAGGATGTTTTGATTRTGGAAAATAGCTGGTGGTATAAAGAAACTTCAATTTCCAACAAATTCTGCCATGAATAAGTTTATTATTAAGGGATTTTATTAAATTGGAATTGCTTTTGAGAAGGAAGGAGAGGGAAAGTTGTTCTGGTTTGCTTCAGCATGTAAAACTTTACACTAATTATAATTAATCATATAATTAATATTGGTTTGGGGGAGTCTTTGCRATTGCACGGGATGTATTTCAGATGAGCCACTCAGCAATGTGTAACACCAGCTTCCTTTTCTACCTCTCAGGTATCATTTAGCACCTGAGCACAAGTATCCAGCCCAAACTCTGGAATGCATCAGAGCTACTGTGCACTTCCTGAAGAATGCAGAGACCTACGGGGTGGATCCCACTCGAATTGTTGTTTGTGGGGACAGTGTAGGGGGCACATACACTGCCAGTGTTTGCCAAGAATTAGGGCAAAGGACAGATATCCCAAAGATCCGTGCCCAGGTGCTGATCTATCCATTTCTCCAAGCACTGAACTTCAATCTGCCATCTCACCAGAAAAATGCTGCCACCGCCTTCCTGTCCCGGGAGCACACAGTCCATTTTATTCTCAAGTACCTGCGTAAGGATTGCTYCCTGAAGGAACCAATTTTGGCTGGTTCTCATGTTCCTGAGAGTATAAATTTGAAATATAGGAAATGGATAAATCCAGATCTTATCCCAGATGTGTTTAAACTGGGCTATAAACCACCACACCCCACTTTGTTTTTACCTCAAGTCCATGAAGAAGTGCAAGAACTGTTTGAGCCGTGGATCTCCCCGCTGCTGGCAGAGGATTCTGTTATTTGTGGCCTGCCTGACACTTGTATCATTACCTGCGAGCACGATGTGCTCAGGGACGATGGGCTGTTGTACAAAAAACGCTTGGAGGACAACAATGTACGGGTGACATGGCACAACATGGAAAAAGGCTTTCACTGTGCAGTGGGATTTTTTGGATATGGTATTTTCTCTTTCCCATCATCAAGTACAATTATGAAACACACTGTAGACTTTATTAAAGGCTGTTAAATAATTTTTTTGCATACAGTGTATTGAGCATGACTGAATTAACTACATACTAGCTATTTGTACATTGGAATCAGGGCAAGAACTTACCACATTAGCATGGTCTGCTGAATTCTGATTTTTACTTACTCTTACTTAGGAACATGATGTTTAGGGGTTTTTTATAAGCTTGCTTTGGTGTTCTCTTCTTGCACTCTAAGAATTTTTGTGCTCTTCATATGTCAAAGAATAAAAACTCACAACAAAAACATTCTAAATGTGTGTGTAAAAAACACATGCAATGTGTGAGTAATCAGCAACATGCACATGCATGCCCACCTAGTGTCCCCAAAATCAGCATGGCAACACCTCTGGAGAGTGAAGATTCCTTCCCTACCTCAGGGACAAATAGTAATCACTATCAGAGTGTGTGTACAGCCAGTACCTTTGCATTTGCATGTAAAATCTGAAGGAATTGGGTGCACCTATGAACCTGACTTTCAAAGGAAATGGGGGTCAGGTAGGTTGGTACAGCTCAAACACTGCACGAAGTGAGTACCTAAAGGTGCCTGAGAATGCAGCAGAGATGAAGTGAGGGAGAACTGGGCAAAAGTAACTGAGTGTCCTCTAAATTATATTCTTACAGGTTCTTTCTGAGCATCATTTGGCTGTATTCAGGGAAGACAGAGACACAGGTTTTTGCCCTGCTATAATCAGACAAATAATCAATTTGCTTACCTGGCTTTTGGGGAGAAAGGATGTAAACATTATGGAARCTGCCAAAATAATTTCTGTGAATATCCAAAACCAAAGAAAAATCTCAGCTCAATTGTTATATTGCTTATTAGGAGAGACCCACCTTTGCTAAACACAGATGCCAAGATAATTGCCATTGCATGGCAAAATAACTGAGCACGCAATGCCTAGGAATTGTAAAATGTTTGACTGTTGTGCAATCACCTTGCCTGTGTAATATCCATGCACAAACAACTGTGGAAAGAGGTTACTCTGTGTCTACCCTCTGCCAGGCAAACTGTGAGTAGGAAGACAGTGGGCTGAATGCTCCATGTTGTCACCATGTTAATGAACTCTGGTGACAAGTGAACTTGTTGACATCTCTGCAGCAACAAGTCACTGCTTGAGGGTTCTTGTTCTCCTGTCCCTCTCAGCAAAATGAAATTACATTTCTTCATGCTCTGTTGACACAACAGGGAGTTTATATGTTTCAATTTTCCTATTGCAGGCATAGCAATTTGTTCTTCAAGTGAAGAAATTCTTCCAGGGATAAATAATGTGATAGTTCCAAGTGTTCCACTCTTTGAGGACTTCAGGATTTCCCTTGGTTACAAAGACAAAGGCTGGGTTAGCAGCTCACATGTTGGTAGCTAAAGCTGGGCCAGCAGAGTCTGTATCTGCTACAAAAGCCWTGCAAAAAGCTGAATAATATTGGAGCAGTTGGAAAACGTTGGGAAGTACCAGAACTAAGGAGGTCTGTACAGTTCCACCTTGTATTTTGTAAGTTATGAGATGATCTCATGCTATTTTACATGCAGTTCAGTGCAGCATTATACTCCTGGTCAGTTCAGCAACCCAATACTTCTTTTCTCTCCTTTATCAGTCCCTGGAGTTATGCCTCATTTGTGAGCCAAKGTCCAAACTCGACAATGATCTACTCCTGAGATTTTTCCATGGCCTGTCCTCTGTCAGTCTTTAATTTACTACTACAAATAATAACAAATTTACCTTTATTATATGTCAGCAGCATTATTTGTTATCTTGAACACACGCATTTTAATCATAGGTTATGACTATGGAGTGCAGATAAGTAAGCAGAGAACAGCAAGTGCTGAAATAATGTGTTCCTTGTTTACTCATGACTCCCAGATTTTCTAAACTTTACAAAGTCACAAGATCTAACTGTCTCCATGGAACTTCCTGTCATTTAATTTATTTAATTAATTACAGATCTGCTATGTGTCTTGCATTGTTAAGATAGAAAGTTTGAACATATTTTTAWGGTTTCTAAAGCATGGAATTTTCAAGTACAAATTAAAAAAAAAAAGTCAAGTATGAAACAAAGTGACAATCAATAATACCTACAGAATTACAGACACCAATATCATTCCACAATGAATTTTGCAGCCAGAGTGTGCTGGTGAGGACTGAAAAGTCCAGCTCTGGTGCCAGTTCAGGCTTCGAGCACCAGATGGCTCTCACACTCTACAGAACCCAAAGGAGCTGCTTGGTTCCTGCAGTACTTCTTCTGGAATATTTCCCAGTATCCCAGTACAGGCTTCCATTCACAATGAGTTCATGTAACCAGCTAATCGGCACCATGATCCAGAGGCAGGGAATATTTTACATCTGTTACACCTGCCTCAGTCACACCCCTTGCACAACAGCAAAAAGAACTTGAGAATTWCAAGATTTCAGGCCCTGACATTGAGCTTTTCAATGGAAATGAGTAAGAAAGGGAGTCCCTGATAGAGGAGAAAATGGGGCTTTGGTCTGATTTCTCCTCTGGTCCATCTCACAGAAGCAGAGACAAGGTTAAAAAATTACCAGAAGCTAGACAGAGCATTTATTTAAGATTGTTTAGGGAATGGTTTTCTCCATCCTGGGCCTCAAGCTTGTAAATTGCTGAGACTAAACTTATAAAGCATTAAGTACTACCCTGTACCTGACACACCCGAAAGAAAAAAACACACWATTACTTCAGAAACCAACTAGTTTTTTTCTCGGACAGCTTCCAGCACACCCAGTCTTTGTGTGGAGCCCCTGGGGGTGCTGTGATATGCGGACCTTGTCAACGTGCCCAAAAAAATCCAAGACCTATCAGCTCTTGGTGAATTGGCACCAAAAAGACTTAGAACACAGAAGAACAATAGGTGTAAGAATTGCAGTACAAAGGATCTGTCAGAGGTGTCAGAGCCTGCTTAGATCCCCAGAGGGGCCAAATCTGATAAGTGTACTTAGACCACACCTCACCCATTGGGACAGCACGGCTTAGCATATGCCAATTAATTACTTTCACCATTRAATGCTGAAGAAGGCGCTTCAATCGCTTCAATCGTGTTTTTCGTAACAGTATTTCCCAATGCTCCACTGTGAGCTATAAGAAAGCGGAACCCCCGTGCACCTCCGTCCTGATGGGCTTGAATTCACTGCTGCCATTTCCCAAGAGCGTCCCAATCCCCGGGCAATGTGCCTTTCACCAACATTCCTTATCGAGCTGGGCATCAAATGCCACAAAGAACGATAAACAAAAAGGAACCTGATTTTATACTCAGCATGTGACTAACCTGGCAAGGGAGGGAAAGGCACAGGGACATTGGGAAATGAAAATCCACAAAGAGTTAGATAAAATGAAGAAACAGTTTGGGCAGAGAGAGCAGAACATGAAAGCAACTGCTTCTCAGAAAGTGTATCACCAGACTCAAAAATGAAGTTCCATCCTCTTTATTCTAAACAGTTTCTGAAGTCAGGTATCAAGCCTGAGGCATTTCCTATGCAGGTCATGGCCTATGCATGCTAAAGCCCTGGGGTCTCTGTCTTCAGTTTCATTTTATTATACAATTCAAGGCCAGCTCATCCCTTGTATTATTATTATTATTATTATTATTATTATTATTATTATTATTATTATTATTATTATTAAAGAAAAAAATACACACTTATTTTACCCACACTGCTATTTTTCAGAGTGACAATCTGTTGCCTTCACAGTCTGAGCAGATTGCTAAAAACACACGGTTCCCATAGGTGATATCACATGGGCTGTGCTTTACAGATGKTTTTTGTTTCAGGTTAAATCTTATCACTAATGATTTATATATGGAAAAATATGTTAGCTCCAGAGGGAGATCCTAAAGCTCACAATGGAAATGAGTGGGCTGCTGATGTCTAGTCCGTGCTTCTAGCCCTGATACCATGAAGTCCAAGTCTAGTTTTCATCAGCTGGAATCATATTTCAACCTGGAATGACATCTGTACATGGTATGAATACAGAGACTGCAGCACTTCCAAACCCAGCTAAGAGGCAGATAAAAAACCAAACAAAAACCAACCAAACACAGCAGCTGGTGCAGAAGAACCATTGAAAAGGATAAAGGCAAGAACAGCTCTCAGGCTGCAGCTGCCTCTGGTTCCACCGGACTCAAAGGTGCATCCAAAATCTGTCATCACAGRTGATGATGAAACATGTTTGTGACACTGAGCACTGATTTCAATAAAAGTCTGAAAAAGTAAGGCAGGAAGGCAAAATAAAACAAGAATCTGAGCAGCTCTTTTGATGATTACCAAGAAATGCTCTGCGAGAACTCACAAATCATAGACCTGCCTGTAATAAAAAACCAGGGAGAGACAGAACAAGATTTTGTCTTCTCATAAATTGACACGACAGTGATCCATCAAGTCTTGATTCTGCTATGATGGGCATGGCCTTGTTCTCTGCAAATATGAAAATGCTTACGCAAGCCTCTCCCACGACTAATTGCTACTGTCTAATGTTATGGCTGGGTTAGCACACATTTCCATCTTCCTACTGGCATTTTTGAAAGCTGGATTACGAGCTCTGATGAGAACACTTAATCCTGTGCCTTTGCCTTCAGAAAACCAAAAGTCTGAAAAAGGAGAAGGAGRGCACACCTGGTTCCTTCTTGGGCTTCTACCAGTACAGCAAGATGGAACTTYTCCTGGGCATTTTTCTCGCTGTTTTGACTGGTATTGTGGCAATGGCATTCTATTATGAACACCCCAAAGCAGAAATTCCTCATGGAATCAGTGAGCGCCGAACGCTTGTTGTTCTTCATTACACCGTGAACTTTGGGTTTGGTCTGGTAAGTAAAACTTGATTAAAGCTTGAGTTTTTAATTCTATTTCTGTCAGAGGGATAATGGTTTGGTGATTTTTTTAGAAACAATKTTCAAATAAATGGTAAATATGCAACTTGACTGAGCAGGTGATGTAAGCAGATTCCTTCAGCTGAGCTGAAGACTCCACTGCTATTAAGCACCAAAGCGAATATTTTTGAAAAATATTTGTCTGCAGACTGTGTAATTCCCAGTTTTTTTCTGAGCAACCTGTGTTTTAGCTTTTCATTCCTGCTGCCTCAAGGTGGTGCTGGAAGGTTTAGAAGGTAACTTGCCCTGTGCATGAGGCATTTCTGCTCTGTATAACACTGTGTTCGCTTACAGAGTGAGCAGCTAAGTGATGTCTGTGATCTCAGCTCTCTCCTACTACGCTGTCACTCTCCTCCTGAGCCATCTGAAGCCAGCTGCCACATTCATCATCATTTGCCTTTCAATATGCCTAAACGACTTTCTATTTTGAGCCAGTACAYATAATATCTGAAGTGACTTTCTGTGTCATTGTTTTTGGCACATTTTTGATCCTCCCTCACTTTTCATCCTTGTTTCTCTTCAAAACTAAAACATGACTTACACTTGCATGTTTCATCAATCATCCTATCCTGAATTAATTGTTGCCCCTGTCATTTAAAAAAAACGCTTCTGTGATACATAAATGAAGCKTCTTTTAGTTGTTTAAATTGTGAAAAAACCTGTTCAGTCTCTTTGGATGTTGCATTACATTTCACTTCAATTCTGTGTTCTAATGTAAATTCTTCCTTTCTTTCTCTGCCTGACTGCTTAGTAAATTTTGTTTCAAGTCAGTGAATTCCCAAGAAGGTGAATCACCACATCTCTAGTGCCACACCCAGGCTTCAGCACTGCTTCGATAGCAAACCAAMCAGGACAGTAATTGAAGTCAAAATTACTCTCCTTACAAGTATATACTGTGTGTAAACATGATTACTCTTTATCCATCAAAGTTTTATCTTTGTGTAATTAATTTGTTAGAAATGAAACAGCAGAATTTAGAAATTCACTCGTGATTGATGTAATTTTCAACTTCTAATCTTACAATCTTGTGTCCTTTCTGCTGGCCTCAGTGAGAGGCTAAACACAAGCACTGTCCCACACAGCCTGAAAGGAGCAGAGAGATAAGGACATTAATGCATGGTTAAACCAAAGTTTAAATGCAAGTAGAGTTCAAATCATGTAGCAACTCTTGCTATCGCTGTTGGGCGAATTACTTATGCTAAATCCTTTCAAGGGCTGACAATCCATGATGTCAAAACTGCACAGAAAATTAAAGTTTACTAGTACGTCCAGTCTTCAGCTGGGACAAAAGGCAACACCAAACACACTGGTTGGTAAGGTCTCCAAGGACTCCTATTCTTTTACTGTTTTGAAGACAAAGATGATCTCCATATTCCATACAGATACAAATAATTGCAGGTTTAACCTTTACTGTTACAAAAGTATTAGTGTGAGGAAAGAAAGTACCAGAGGGAAATTGAAGAATTAAGTAAAGTTATTTTCCCATGGATATAAACGAGGAGTTCTGTAGAAGGAATCAGTATGAGACTAAAACTTTGCCAGTGTATCCTTCCTGTGTATGGGATCTGCTCTTCAAACAGCCTAAAATAAGATACCTACACCAAATTTAACAGGAGGACACTGCTGAGCTACATGAGGTCTGTGAAATATGAAGTGAAAGCCACGATGGCAGGTTTTTTTTTAAGATCCATGCAGTGTAGACATTTGTATGTACAATTCTTCTTGAAATGCATAAGCATGAATAACGGCAGCACAACAAATTAAATTACTCATTAGTGAAGTCTGCTGTGGAAGTGGTGCAAAATTGAATCCAATATAGTGGAAATATGGTGATACTGCCTCATATTTTTCATCTTAAGCAGGAATAGACGAGAGCAGGCTCCAAGTGAAACAGCTTAGAGCCATGGGGATGTGATGGAGTAGGCAAGCCCAGAGTGACCTAAGAACCTTAGCCTGAGTGTTTAAGTAAGAACCAGTGAGCTGTGAGATCAAGCCAGGGTTCAAAGCTATTCTTGGTCAGGAGGACAACTGTGGTAGATGCTGTGGATTTTTTTAAATTTTTTCTGCAAGTTTAAAAGCAGTGTGAATTTGGGAAACAAAAGCATTGGCTACCTTTCTTGATCCAAAGCTAAAGTTTAAAATACTGTAACTACTCTCTCCTGATTTTGTTCAGGCACATGGCTACTGAAACATGTGACAAGGTGAAGTATTTGATACCTTTTATCTACCATTAATAGTTTGATGTTTTCCGACTGAATTGAGCATGAAGTTTTAAATTTTTCATTATTAATTTCCAGGTTAGGTAGAAATTTGCACTAATTTGTGGTTTCTTTTATCACCAGGCAGCATTTTTGGATAAAGTAGGTATCATCTCAGAGGTCCGTCTACTCAGGACTTTAATGGAGACAATACCACCACGTAAAGATAAGCGACTTCTTATCACGGACCTAAAGTTTGAAAGGGTTAAAGTAAGAATTTACCAACCMAAAACATCAAACAATAGCCAAAGAAGGGGAATCCTTTATTGTCATGGAGGGATTGGCCGGTTTGGAAGTATCCGTAAGTAATGGAAACAATTTGAGCTATAWCTACACACAGCACCCAGACTGGGTCAGGTGGGAAGGGACCACAGTGGCTCATCTGGTCCCAACTCCCTGCTCCAGCAGGGCCAACCCAGAGCACAGGGCACAGGATTGTGTCCTGACAGCTCTGGAATATCCCCAGGGAGGGAGACTCCAAACACACACAGAGTTTCCATCTGATATGGTATATCTTAAATGACAAGAGTTAGTAGGTTAAGCATTATAAATAGCAAAATTAATTTCAAGACAGCAGAATCAATTTATTTACATGMAGTAGGCAACAGGTTAAATTGTCTTTATACAGGTTGTGTATCCAGAATATTCTCTCATCATTTTAAATACCTGTTTTCTTCCTTCTTCCTCATGCTCATGAGAAAAGTTGAAAATCTCATTAGAATTTTATTTCTTCTTTTAAAGCACCCATTTTTTGTTCACACGTCTGTGCAAGCTTGTGTGTGTATATTGTGCTGTGTGTCTTTACAGTGGAAAAACAATGACAAAATATATTGAATTGCAATTGGAACTAGAGATGGTGTCTTGTGCATAAGAAAAATTCTTGTACTGGATTTAGTAGGTTTTTAGTTGGTTATATTTTTAAACAACTTCTCCCCTTCAAAACCATTTAGAAGTGGCAGCAGTGGTGCTGTCTGTAACCTTTCAAAGAGGGGAGCGAAGCAATGCATTGGTTTAAATTCTGGGTTTCTTACTGGCCAGAAGATTCTCACAGATGTGAGGAAATGGTGAGCAATGCCCAAATCAGACTATGCCACACGCTATACATGTTGTGTAGCATTAGCCACACACAGAGATAAGAATTTCAGAGTATTTAATTTCATTTCTTCTTAAGGCAAGTCATAATTCCATTGAACTACTTTGTTTTACAGGGGCCTACGAAAGAACATGCCGTTATTTGTGCAGGAAGTCCAATTCAGTGCTGGTGTGTGTTGGGTAAGTGGAGCCAACCCAGACACTCTGACCCTGAGTTTGCAAATCTTTACTGCAGCCAAGTTCCTTGTAAAGTACATTCAGTACCTATATTTAATTATACCATGCCTTTCACCAGCACTAATTCCTCTTGGGAGGAGTTAGTCAACTAATTCCCACTTGTTTATTTCCAAATGAAATCAATTACAGTAATTTTATCATTTGTAGCTACCACTAAGAGGTGAGGATGTTTTTGTTTCCTAGAGTCATATCCAAACCACCTCAGGCTGCAAGTCTGAAGTGTACCTGTTTCTGTTGAAAGCACAGTTGCCCAGACCACCAAATAGTCATTTTAGAAGTTCTGAAAAATAGAAGAACCTCATGAGATTAAAACAAGARTTTACAAACCAAGTTCAACATATCTACCCTCAAAAGAAATCTATACACTCGACTCTATTGTCTTAATTAYTCAGTAAGTTATACCTGGAGGCATGATGCATTTCCATGAAGAAATGGAAGTAGGAGATCCACATTTAAGTTGCAATCAACCTGAGATAACCATTAAAAATACTTTTCTGATGAGATACAATGCACTTTTAAAATAAACAATGTATAAAAGTTCAGGAAGTGTTGATGTCTTGGGAGTTGGTTGCAATTGCACTAATTGCTATTTACATCCTAAAAGACTTGAAGAACCAATAACTCACTGATTCTGTTCAAAGTCTTCAGCTTACGAAACACTGAAAATCTTTCTGATTTTCATTAGCAATTTTCTATGCTCATGTTCTCTAACAATTTGTTGTTAAATTTCACTTGTTCATTTAATTTTCTAACTGGAATTGCTGATAACTGATTGACACACTTGCCTTGCCAGCTAATTTCAAAACAACTTTCATGTCCCTTCAGTCATCTACAAGATAAGTAAAGAAGTATTTTGCAAAGGGGAAAGTGTACTGAGTCCCCCAAACTTGAACAATAGCAAATAATACATCAAAAACACTAATTCAGATCAAATCCATTGCTTCAGTTATAATGTCAGAGTATTTGCCTGTCTTTTGAAGGAAAGAAATTAATGACAAGACTCCATCGGACCCATTCACTAGAAATGACTATGCYAAAACACTTTCACTCCTATTTAGGTATCGTTTAGCTCCTGAACATCCATTCCCAGCCCAGTTTGAGGACTGCCTCACTGCTGCCATCCACTTTCTCAAGACTGCACAAGACCATGGAGTGGACCCTTCCCGCATTGTCATCTGTGGAGACAGCAGTGGAGGGACACTCGCTGCTGCTGTTGCCCAAGCACTGGTGAACAGAAGAGATCTCCCAAAGCCAAGAGCACAAATACTGATATATCCTTTTCTCCAGTGTGTGGACTTTAACTTGCCTTCTTAYCAGCAGAATGCAAGAATCCCCTTTTTGCTAAGGGAACGAACCCTTACTCTTGGCATGAAGTATATTAACGTAGACTTGTGCTTCATCAAAGAAATACTTAAAGGTCGCCATATTTCAGAAGATCAGAGACTGAAATATCAGAAATGGGTGAGYCCTGACTACATCCCTCAGGAGTTTAAAACAAAAGGTTACAAACCAAGTCCAACATGCCCACCCTTGAAAGAAGTCTGTGAMGTAGCCAAGGCCGCCATTGACCCTGTTTTTTCCCCACTGTTGGCTGAAGACAGCGTTATTGCTCAGCTCCCTGAGACTTTCATTTTGACCTGTGAGTTGGACGTGCTTAGAGATGATGGACTGCTGTACAAGAAACGCTTAGAGGACCATGGTATCAAAGTGACCTGGTGCCATCTGCAAGAGGGATTCCATGGAAACATGTTCTTAGCAGGTTTTGGTAAGATGATGGGATCCCGCTCTGGAGCTAAAGGCTTGGAAAAGACAGTAAATTTTCTAAGATTGATGTAAAAAAMCATTTCTTGCTTTCTTTTCCTGAGCTCTATCTCTTGTTGTTTTCTTTTTAAAAATCCTGAATTTTTCTTTTCTTGAATTACCATCTTAAATTTCGGCATTGCATCTGTCTTCTTTTTACCTAATAAGTTGATTTCACAATGGCCTGTGCTCACTTTACTCTCAGGAGAGGCAAAATCAGGTGAATTTATATTTCTTTCCTCTACCACCTCTTCAGTTTTCTCTTGCAGCCAGTAAAGATCTTGTCCCTATAGSAAGGGGTTTGCAAGGAAGTCTAGTTCAGTAAAGTTCTGGAACTACTAGAGCACAGACCATGTCTGCAAACAACCTGGGGCAGGTAGCAGGGTGTGAACCCATAGGATAAGTATATAAAGCATATGGAAAATAATTTACGAAAGCCTGTATCTGGTGAGAGCTGAATTTGAGATAAGCTTAAAGAGAACCAAATGTAGCAGGGAAAATGTGAACACAGACAGAAAGGAAAAAAGGGGAAGAGAAGGAGAGGAAGAGAGGGGAGGGGTAGACCTGGAACTACAGGTGTTGCAACAAGTATTGTTTCAGGAAAACAACATATATTTTAAAAATTATGTATACACATTTTACATAGAGATAAAAGATATATGGGAATATAAAGTAATATCAGTTCCTTTACAAAGTGTAGGCCTGCACCGCCTGATGCAGGCAGGACTTTCCCTTTCAGGGACYGTGTCAAATGCCATTGCAGACAAAGGAGAATCATGGAGAAAATTTTAAAAAAATCAAAGTTCACATCAATTTTAAACTGTTTACAAGAGATGAATGACCAAGTAAACCAATACCAAATAGCATGGCATGACAAAAATATAAAGCTATTTTCTTAGAAATGTACTCAAGTATTGCCAGAAATGTCAGTAAATGTTTTAATGACACCATTCTGAGGTGAATGTATAAGTATAGAACTGTGTAATTGCTTCAGTTTTTATTATAAACCTATATCCTGAATTAAAATATTTTATCATGTCACTAGATTCTATTGTCTTAAATTCGTCTGTAAGTTTTCATTGGAGGCAGGATGCATTTCCATGCAGAAATGAAAGCAGGGCGAGGATGCAATTTTRCTGACAGTCAGCACTTCTGACTGTCTTTGCTTAAGTTAACACCTGGAACACTACCCACACTAAAATTACCACCATTCTTGTCAGGGAAATTTCTAGCTCTATCATTTACAAACAATACTCTCTGTATCTGATACCACTGTATGTATTTTCTGCCCCCTACTGGCTCATTTAAATGATAACCAAAAGCGAGGATACTGCAGATAGTTATGTAAGATAAATATTCCAACAGAAGACACCCTACAACCAAGGGAAGGACTTTGCTGCAATGYTCTGCATAGCTCTGATTTATATTCAGCATCTGAGCAAATGAAGCCTGCCACAACGACATGAATACTATTTAGTTATACTCACATAGTACAGTCAGGAAAAAGGGGAAATTTTACAGGGATCTTCTGTATGGCATTTCTGAATRCAATTGAATAAGCAAAAAGCCCAGGAAATCTTTTCCAGCATTTTCCTGATTTCTAAGTACACACTTCCATTGGCACTGTTGAATGCTGCCTGTTTTCCATATGGGAACCCATGCCACTAATGCTGAGGTGACATCAGTGGCATTTTGTCCATAAAGTGATAGAGCAGTACCTTCCTGACACTAAAATACAGAACAAGTCAGACTAACACAAAGACTGACAGCTGTCAAACCTCTCATGGGTATTACAACCTAAAGACAACATGACGAAGATACTACTGGGGTTTTTTTTTTTGGTTATTTTTTTTTTTTAAATCCAGAGAACTCCTGGGTTATCAGTGAATCTTTGCCTATGAAGAACTTAGGAAAATGTGATGTTGACAAGTACATTTCCTTGGCTGGGACAGTTCCTTCCCATCTTGACAAAAGCACCTAGCTCCTTCCACAAGGGAAGGGGAGGTGCCTGAGGTGATAATTCCCTCCAGAGTTTGCTCCCTGAATGAAGAGACAGCCCAAGCCGTGCTGCTCTCCAGGCAGGAACAGGGTATGGAYAAGGCTGGTCCATCCAGAGGTGTTAACCCCAGAGAATGTGGGGCACCAACCAGATTTTTTTAGCTGCTCTCTAGGGTTTGGCCCAAGGGCACTATAGCACAAATAAAAACATCCAGGAGCAGATCAGAATGCTGTCAAAACCTGAAAACCAGTGAGATGCTGGGAAKCTCAGTGCAGCTGGTAAGGTTGACACTCTTTGAGCAGCTGTGTGATGGGAAGATGTTGAAGAAAATGAAGGCAGGAAACTGCCCTGCATTGTTCCATCACCAGATGTCAGCACCAGCTACGTCTGTAATAACCTGACAAACTTCTTTGTGCTCTGGGCACACAATATGAGTAATTGAAACACATTACCAAAGGTCAAACTGTGATTTGATGTAAATATTTTACTGAACCTGTTCTTAWACCTTCATAGCCTGAAGCTGTCTGTTTAATAACAGAGCACATTATAAGCCATAACTTTAGATGACCTGTTCTAACCAATCAAGTTTAGAGTGGCTTATTACAGAAGTCCACAACTTCAGTTAACCTCTGCTTTGCTGTCTTTAATCACCTCTTTGTACTGCTCTAGTTATAAGTCCCATACCATAGTAAGTGCTTTTAAAAAAAGAAACAATTAGAAAACATTCCAAATTTACTAGCTCTATCATTTACAAATACTATTATTTACTTAAAAGCACTTAACACTATTCTCTGTCCGTGATGCCCATTGTCAGGCATAATCCTGAAAATTATGGTAGTTTTTAATTCTGTCTTCCATCTCTCAGTGWTTCACTGTGTTTGCTGGCTCCTGTGAGAGTGAATACAATGCTAACCTGAATATTTGGAGTACTAAGRCGCAGATGAACCAGGCCATGGCAAAATAAGTGCAGTTACAGTTGTTATATTTACATTCAAACAACTTCTGACTTAGTAAGGTTCATTTTGGTATGAAATGCCATGAAATCCCAAGTGGATGTTTCAGAGCAGCTTATGAGGAATCCATTTGTGTGGAGCAGAATTCATTCATTCATTCTCTGGAACAGAAACACACAGCAACAGAGATGCAGACACCCAACAATCCATCCACATTTCCAAATGCTACYTAATAAAATCCTCCAGTTCAATAATCATTTCAGAAATGTACCTGCTCTGAACTGCATAACACAAGGTCTGAATTTCCATCACTGAATGATAATACATAACATTTGTTGTATTTTTAATACAGTATAGCTTTTTACTCCAGAATTTGTTAGCAGCTGCTTAGCCTAGGAGTCATTTGGAAGGGACAGACTTCCAAGAATAACTCAGAGGAAGAAAGGAAAGGCTAAAATAAAGATTCATGGCAGACTGGTGGCTTTCTGTCGTGAGTAAGAGCAAAATACACAGGAAGTAGCTACTTATTTGGGTGGGGAGATGGAGATGATGAAAAGAGAGGACACTGAAAGGTAGGTAGGAGGCAGCCTAAATGCAGAAGTAGATGAAGCAAATACACAGCACCTTTAAAAACCAGTATGGCAGAGCATGTACTAAGCTGTAATTTCTTAAAGCTTCTTATTGTCACTGCAAAGGRCATATTAAATCCATCTCACAGAACAGAAGACTCAGGCTTATRGGTATGAAGAGCTCTGAGATGCTTTCAGTCAGTTGTTTACATAAAACAAAGAAATGTGAACTGAAGGATAGCAAATTCCTCCCATTCTCTACTTGGTAAAAACAAAATCAGTTAAATTACTCTACACATCCAAATTGTTCTGGTAAATTACCTAGAGAAAATAAGAATAATTTCAAAAAACAAGGCCAATTATATTTACCAGAGTGCTCCATTTTGAAATGAACAGTAAAAAAATAAAGAACTGTATAAGAAGCCATTATCTTGGGGTTTAACTTTTCTTTGGAACACATTATTTTTTTCTTTTTTCTGTTTCCTGTAGACTATACCTGCTGCAATAAAAACCTCAGTCATCACAGGTGACTACTTTACCATGCTCTAGTTACTCATCATAGGATTTCCTGTGTTAGACAGAGTAGGTCTGCAAAAGTCAACTATCTCCAGGTTAACTGGCTGGAAACAGCCTGCAATCACAAGTGAAATGTGTTGCAATGTTTTAGAGAAAGACTTCACAAGAAAACCAGTAATTCACAMCAGTAATTAAATTCATTAGCGCTAACTCCCCTAACCTCCTGCCTTGCCTGATGTTGGGTTTGAACAGTTCCAGGCTCTTCTCCTAATAACTGAGGGGAGCTTGATGAGTTCTACACATCCTCAGCCTACAAAGCTATGTGGGATTCCACAGCTGCAGAAGCCTTAGAAAACACACAGGATGAGTCTGGGGAAAACCGGCAAATACCAGATTTCCTTGGACAGGTATCATTATTGTACTTCCCCCTTCCATCATTACTATAACTGTTAGAAATATACTAAAAAAATTAAGAATGAACTCTAGAATGCACAAATGGAGGCTTGCTGATGAGCAAATGGAAAGAATATACCCAAATATTGTCGATTTTTACTCACCAAGTACTCATTAAACAACATTAAGCTCTAGCTCAAGTTCAATGAATAAAGAATCAATTTGTGAGCTCTGAGCAACTGTTATATAACAATAACAAACCACATGAGATCCTTAATGCTCATTACAATGTCAGACTCCAGACTCTGCTCATCTTCACCACTTTGGTGGAATCTCATGAACCTTTAGGCAGTGCAAGTTGTTCTCATCTGCAAACAGGTAAAAACTTTGTGGAAGTTGGGGTTTGGGKATGAGTTTGCTGAAAGAATAAAAATATGGCTGTAGCAAAACACATAAATTCCTACCATTTAAAGAACTACCTCTCTACTGCCAGAAAGAGAAGGAGCCTTTTTGTTTAAAAAGATACAAGGTACTCACTTCATGCAGTGGATTGAAAGGGATTAAAACATTCTTTTGACAATTTAACACCTCAAAAACAACTAGGAGAAAAAAAAAAACCCATTGAAAACCTCACTGACTGTTTTGTAACACCCTGAGAATCTGACAGGGACCATAGATATTCCTACCCATCCATCTGTGGGTACAGGAATGGCTGGCCAGATTGGAAATAGCTGAAATGTATGGAATACAAGMACCAAACACCATCACAGTTATCAATATAAGCACCCCCAGATGGACCAAGTAGCTCTCAGACCATGGGATTTGCTTGATTCTGGAAAAACATGGACATTGTGTTAACAGGACAGGGTCCAAACAGCACAGAGGTAGAACATGCTCTAAGTGCACMTGCTGAGTGTACTCTAAGAGTAACATACTAAGAGATTAAGAGCGAAACATTAAGATATTGTTTTGAAACATTACTTCACCAACATTTCTTTAACAACAGAAACCCTGYAATGCAGAACTGGAAGATTTTTGTTGAGACTGTCATGAGTGTACAACAGATTCTCAGTGAAGACAATTGCCAGGTCATTGTATCAAAAAACAAAAACCTCAAACTSTACTTTTAAAAATTTATTTTAAAATAAAMAGACAGTAAAGCAGTACTCCTTCCAGTCTATCAAATCCATCAAGGTTTCAAAACAGAGGTGGCATGTGTGAGGTGTTTTGGTTTTGATTAAAGGTGATTAAGTATTGACTCACTGAATAGGAGAAGAAAAGTCTTGTGCTAACACTGTGTCAGCAAGAGCTCATAGAGCTAACAGCAGACAAACGTGCTCTTTGGTATGAGGCTTTCATAATCTGAACTGATCACACAAATAAGCAGGTGTTTAGTTGCCTTTGATCACCTTTAAAAGTTTCATTTACTTCATTTWCTGCCACTGAAGGAGCTTTAGGAATTTGTTGTTATTGATTTAAGGTTCTTTTGAAAGCACAGAAATTGCCTTCTCWGATGATTCAAATATAAGAAATCATCAAGGATGCTGAAATACAATATTTGAAGCTGATCACCAGATGGGAACTTAATTCAGGATATTTGGACTGATGGCATAGACATCACAAATAAGAACTTAGTAAAACTGTGCTGTTCTTACAGGAATATATGACAAAACAAGGAATATTCTTACAGGAATATATGACAAAACAAGTTACAAGTTAACAACCCTCACAGGCTGTGCTGTAATATCACACTACAGAGGAACCATTTCTACAAGCAATAATCACAAGCAGTGCTGGGCTGCCCCAGCTGTGCTGCAGAGCCCCGTGGAGAGCACCTGATGAATTTAGGACAGGCTGAGCACTGGCCATGAGCATCTGCGTTTGGCTAAAACACTCTACAGTCTGACATTTTAACTACCCAGATGCTAAATCTGTGCTCTGTGGAAGGCCCCAAATCRGCCATTCTCAGCACAGAAAAGGCCCTGAATACCCGCCGATTTCACAAACCTTGGTGYGAAATTATGACCTTGTTTCATCCCACACATACTTACCTTCACAAGCCAACGTTGTGCAAATCAGCTGTCAGCATTGTTTAAAATACTGTGCTAAGGAAGCTAAGGACTAATTCAGTTTTCAAACTGGAATTCCACTTTAAAGCCAAAACACAAAAAAAGGTTTTGGGAGCTGTAAATTTRAAATCATGTAGAAAACGTAATTCTAGTATGAAGAACTCAAACCAGAAAAATTATTTTTCCAAACAACTGCCATCTACTGCTACCATCCCTCACCAATACACATGTATTGATAATGCTTCTACACTGAACTGCAAACATGAATTGCAGTGAGTATGAAACTCTGAGGGTTAGTTMGTAAAGACCTTTACCAGAAACAACAGGAGCTTGAATCTACAAACACACCACCATGTGTCTAGAGAGACATCTGTCTACATTAAGGCTTGTACCAATTTTAAACACGGAGCAAATGAACTCTTATTTAAACCAAAGTTAAAGCATGAATGTGTCTGTGCATTCCCCTATGAAAGTTTATTTAAAAATGTGGATTTGAGTATTTTCCTCTCAGAGAAGTACATATACACCTTGATGACAATGCAAATAGCTGCAATTCACTAAAATTTAACACTGCAACAGAAATGTCCATTCAAAACGAATCCACAACAAACCAAGCAGACAGTCTTCAAAATAGGGCCCCTCTGAATAGTTGCTTCTCCTTGTCAGTGACAAGCTCATAGTGTGAATCAATTCCACACTTTGAATCCCACCTTTTGTAAAGGGTACAAAGAAAGCGCAAAGAAGCGTTGCCAATAGTATCATTAGCAAAAGAAGGGTGGAGAAAATTGCAATACCTTGCATTGCAACATTATAATAAACATTTAATTTCTGCATGTGAAGTGAGCACTCAGTCTTCTGTGAAGACACCTCGGATGCCCTTGAAAACAAGGCTTAACACAGCATAGGTTTTTAGCATTTACCGCCAGTAAAGTGAAATGGCATCCATTTATAAAAGTTTAGCAATTATAGCAATGTTTTTTATGTCTCCTGTTATAATACCTGCACTGTTTTGGTGGTGTGCATTGTATGATTTTTTCACCTCAGAACTACCACCTGGAATTGAGCAACCTCTAAAGCTTCGTTTTTTCCACTCCTTGATGATTACAACCATAGTCGCGGTAAGTTAAATTTCTTAACCTGGGGGTTTCACTTTTGCTTGGGCATTTGGGAGCTGGAGGATAATGGCTTAAGGAGAAAAAAAATAAAAAGAAAGAAGCAATTTCATGCTCCTGAAGCCTGAAGCATTGATATATGAACCCAAAACATCTTAAATTAACTTATAAAATTCATATGACTAATCCTAAGAGCTTCTTTAGGTTTTTCAGTCAAACTACAGCCACTTCATGCTGGGGAATGTTTCACGTGATGTTTCACACGAAAATTTAAAACAAGTATCTAGATGTATCCTGTACATTAAACTGCATGAACATGGAATAATGCTGTCTGTTCAGGAACAAGCCTACATTACTCCTCTCCTTCCAAATTCTTTCTTTTCAACAGGGAAAGATTTTGGAGAAGCTGGGGATCTGCAATGATTTAACCATAATGAGAGCAGTATTCGATGGGATACCCCCATGGAGAGAATCCAAACTGCTTATCAAAGATCTCACAGTTGATGAGGTACCACTGAGGATTTATCAGCCCAAAAGCCCACCCACTGGCAAAAGAAGAGGAATTCTGTATTTTCACGGAGGCGCTGGCACATTTGGGAGCATTAGTAAGAAAGGGACAAGTTTTATTTTTCAAGTCAAATCCAAACCATCATATTTTTGCCTTCAGACACATGTCAGTCAATGTCTGCCCTGTCCTTCCCAGTATCACCAGTCTTTGAAATCGCAGTGCTAACTGGAAAGTATTTGTGTTAAGGGGAGTCTCATCTTTGCTTCCTTCAGGCTAGAGAYCTGTGATCCAGAAATTCCTCACCCTGCTCTCAGCTCTCAGTGAGGGACTCTGCTCTGTTAAGACAACTCTATCTTACACAAAAGATACAATGTGAGTCCAAGAAGGAATTTAAAGAATACATTAAAAAAACCCTAAATAAATTCCCATTCACACAAACAAGGAATCCAAATGGCAGAAAATAGAGAAAATCAGTGAGCAATTTGGGGAAGTTTGATTCTTGTGGTCACATGGCAYAGGATACTTGATTTCTTTTCCAGAAAGGGAGACAACCCTTGTCTCAGTAGCCGGGAGTTCAACCTCCTGATTACTCTGGATCTCCTGAGCAACCAAGGTTCTGAGTTTCCTCTGCAATCCAAGGCCCTTAACATGGAAATCTGGACTTCATTCCAGGGGTTAGACAGGACAATTTGAGGAGTTTGAATCCTTTACTGTTTCAAAGGGTAGGTAGGCACTATACTGGGCAGACTTGAGTTTCCTGGCATCCTTCAGCCCCATGCAGGATATCCCAGTAATGTAACTCCCAGTGTTGTGGGGTTGCCTCTGCACTGGGGCACAAATAATCTAACCTGCTGTAGTCAGAGCACAGGAGTCTGGGTGGAGTGTCAGGCTCACTTCTAGAGCCAGTCTGGGTACCAGTGAGGACTCCAGAGATGAAACTGGGATCTAAGTGACAGGTGAATTTCTTTCACTGGAAGAAACCACAAGTTGCACAATGATTCTTTGTTCACATGACATGGCTTAATGTGACAGCCATACCTGTACACAGAAAGTGGGACCTGACCTTTGGCTTCAATTCCTGTTAGTATTTGCTAACAGGAAAGCAACCAACACGATGACAAGCTTTCACAAGGRCTTGGGGAATCTCCAGCCTAGGAAGCCTGAGCCAGCAAATTAGCCTAAGACATAATGAAGATGAGAATCAGTGGACAGACAGCTATGACTTATTYCTCAAATGGATGTCACGCTTCACAAATCCCAGAATCATTGAATGGTTTGGGTGGGAAGGGACCTTAAGTCTCATCCAAATCCCTCTACCAATGGCAGGGACACCGTCTGCTATCCCAGGTTGCTCCAAGCCCTGTCCTACCTGGCCCTGGACATTTCCAGGGATGGGGCAGCCACAGCTTCTCTAGACATCCTGTGCCAGGRTCTCACCACCCTCACAGGGAAGAATTTCTTCCTAATATCTAATCTAAACCTACTCTTYATCAYGTGTGATCAATTACTCTTTATCRCATGTGATCAATTTAATTTTTTTAAGTCAGCAAATAGATGAATAAAGGGGACAAAGTTGATAAAACCCACTCTGATTTCCAGAAGAGTCTCTTAAGTAGGCTACATCCATGACASAGGAGGGAAGGTCTTCCATTTGGATAAAAACTGACTAAAAGGCAGAAAAAAAATATGGGTTATGGGAAGCTCCTGTGAGATTCCCATAAGRGTATCTGTGCTGGGATCAGTGTTAATCAATTTATTCAAACACGGAAAAGATGRTGCAAGCTGATGTGGTACTAAGTCCTTTGAAGGTCATAAGTGGATGGCTGAAAAACTGCAGAATGTCTCTATGACAGCAAAGGATCAGACAATAAAATGGCAAAGGATCAGACAATGAAATGGCAGGTGAAATGGCATGTAGAGAAGTCAAACAGATGAACAGAGCATCCTGACTWTATAAATGAAGCAATGGACTCCAAGCAGGAGCAGAAAAGAAGGTCTTGAAGGAAGGAGATCTTAGGATTATGGTAGGAAGTTGCCTGAAAATGTTGTACTACTGACATAGTGCACAGTAGCAGTCAAAAAGCAAACAAAATACTAGGAACTGTTAGTAGGGAAGGAAAGACACAACAGAAAACTTCTTCATGCCACTGTAATAAATCCATGGTGTATCTAAATACAGTATTGTGCTTATAGTTCTGATTCCCACTCCTCAAAAACAATWGAGCAGTACTGGAAAGACTTCAAGAGGCTGCCTAGGTGAGAAAAGTGCTTTTGTGCAGACAGTAAGTACTTGACTATGCCTCTTCAGGCTRCAAAAGACGCACAAAGACACACTAAGTGACTACAAAATCATGAGAAGCAAGAGAAGTTAAATGGGGAAAGACTTACCCACCATTTCTTAGTACAAGAGTCAATGTCACCAAGTGGAAGCAGTGAATGCCAAGTACAAAAGGAGCAAACAGAAACGGCTCTTCTCACCTTTGTAAGCGAGACAACTCCTCCCTGCTATTGTAACAAACCTGTTAGGGTTAAGGTTAAAATCATGGCCTTAAGAAATGGTTTGGGTAGTTCAGAGAAGAAATATTAATCAAGGGCTTTATGTATAAAAACAGCTTCTGTCTCACAGGAGTGCCCTCAGCCTCACATTCCTGGATGCTCCACATTCCTCTATGTTGGTCCTCAGCTTATGCTCTCCTTCGACACCTTTTGTTGGCCACCAGGTGAGCTGTGAGACAGCCCAGAGAGATTTCTGGGCTACCCTGGTATCACCATTCTTATATGCCTGTGTGATGCCCTGAGAGCCACTGACCAACAAAAAGCRTGCTAACATGTAAAGATCACATTTCATAGCACAAGCTCCTCATTGGTCTCATGCTGCAGTGCTTTCCACACAGCGTATGTTCAGGGATATATATTTTCATTTCAAAAGGATATTTGATTTTCAAATCATAATTTCTGATAAACTTTCTCTTTAGGAGCCTTTGAAAGGGTATGCCGCCACATGGCCGAAAAATGCAACTCRGTGGTTGTGTCTGTTGGGTAAGTGCTATTTTTCCAYAGAAGTATTTATAGGAACTCAGCTCTCAGTTGAAACTCTTCCGAAAAATATGCTGAAAATATTAACTATTTTAGATAGCATCCCTATTTTTCACTAAAACCTTTAATTTTATTTAGAAATGTGCTTAGAGGCAAAATATTCTAAAATATGGGTAGCTGTAGCATCGTAAGTTTGGCTTTCCAATCTACACTAGTTAAACACAAATATAATCCTTAAAATTAAGGAAAAAGGYCTACATAGCAAATGCATAGTCTACCTCAGCGACTGCTAACAACACAAATGGAATGTTTATAACTCCACTGACAATAATCAGTCTTTGGYATTTCAGGTACCGTCTGTCTCCTGAACACCCCTACCCAGGGCAATATTTTGACTGTCTCAGTGCCACCTTATACTTCATGAGGAATTTAGAAGAGTATCATGTGGATCCTGGTCTCATCATCATTAGTGGTGACAGCTGTGGAGCCAATTTTGCTACAGTTATTTGTCAAATACTGCTGAATGACAGAGATCTGCCAAAAGTACGTGCTCAGGTGCTGCTTTACCCAGGACTCCAGGGGCTGGATTTCCATTTGCCCTCCTACCAGCAGAAYGCTTTTGTCCCCATGCTGCCCCGGAAGACAGTTATCTACTTCTGTTTTCGTTACCTTAACAGAAAACCCACAGTTTGGAAAGATGTTCTACAAAACTGCCATGTTCCTGTGAGTATGAGACACAAGTATAAAAAATGGGTAAGCGCTGACCTTATTCCTGATGAATTTAAGATTAGAGGCTACGTACCACTGAAACCCACACCGTATAAACCTGAAGTCCATGAAGCTGTCAAAGAAATTTTAGCAACAACATTTTCCCCACTTTTAACTGAAGATTCCATTATTTGCCAGCTCCCTGAGGCCTACATTGTGACGTGTGAGTTTGATGTGTTGAGGGATGATGGTCTGTTATACAAGAAGAGACTAGAGGACAATGGTGTTCAAGTGACCTGGTATCATTCTGAGAATGGCTTCCATGGAATTTTAGCCTTTTTTGGCTATGGGRTTTTTTCCTTTTTATCTGCAAATAAGATAATGGATGGTATTGTGAATTATATAAACAGTTTATAGAAGTGTTTTTCAAAAGAAAAGTGCAAGTCATGTAGTCATCTTTGATTAATTTATACTTGGCAAGGAATGTAAACATTTCTGATTTATAGTTTGGATTTTGCCTGYATTTTATAGTTTCTGATTTCTGCTTCTGTAGTGACTCTCAAACAAATTTAGGATTATTTAAAGTGCCACCATTCCACAAAATACTGTTGTAATAACACACCAGTAAGATTGAGATGCAAAGGCAAGGCACCTAGCACATCCCTTATCACCAAAACTATACCAATTCCAGTATCTTTGCATGGCTGGCACACACTGAAGCCAAGAGAGAAGAATCTTCCTTGAATCTGCCCAGAAATACCGAAGACAAGAAGTGAGGTCTGCTTGGTTCCTTATGACAGACAGGAGCTATTGATGGTATCAGATGGAGAACTCAGCTTCTATGAAGTCTTACAGCAGACACTGAAATTGCAGCCATGAATTTAATTTCTAGTCTGTACTAGACCACACTGCTCGAGAAATAGGGAAGTTAAAAGGAAGGTTCCTGTCTGGAGCAGAAATCCTAAACTGCAACTAGCAYGGGTTTGATTTTGTTTGGGATCTGAGAAATGCTTCATTTTGGAACTCCATTCTCAAACTGGAATCCCTGAACTTCAGTGAGTGTGTCCATGTTAGGGAAGTTCAGAGGCGAGAATTTTCTGTAGCCTTTGTTTATTTTCAAGATTATCTTATGCTCAAGGCTACCTGTTCTGCTGTGTTGAAGAAGTTCAGAAAATCATGTAATGAAGGCAGAGAAGCACAATTTATATTATCACTGTAATGATGTGGTGATTCTGTGATGCTTTCAACAACAAAAAATAAAAATGAGCACTGCAATTACTTCTGTTATAAGAGTGAGAGTGACATTTCCTAAACACATATTGACTGATAAATTGACTGAATCGCCGTGGTGAAAAGAATGACACAACACAGGCACACARAGAAYACAGTCTTGCTAATTCTACCTGGTCACATCTGTGCTGTGCACAGTAATTAACTTACCAAACAACTGGATACAAGCACATGTGGTAGGGGGAATGTAACTGTGAAAACACAATACAATACTGAAAGTCTACAAACACCACTGGATGGACTATTTTTTTTTTCAAATCTGGGCTTTTGCTGATTTTAACAACAAGATTTCCTTCTGCTTCAGAGTATTTTATGATGACCATTTGCCCTATTAAAAACACCCAACTTGTCACTAGAAAAACAATATGAAATTAATTTTTAATAAAATTTTCTAACTAAAATGACATGGCACTTTCCCCCATCACTCATAATTTGACATTGCTGACAATAACAAAAACAAAAAACACCAAATGAAAAAACCCTCAACTCTCCCCCACTGTTACCTAATAAGGTTAGATTTTTACCTCTTTCTTTTCCCTGTGAATTTGCAATTTAAAWGTTCTCACATCCTAGTTGTTTGAAGAGTTCCAGGCTTATATTCACAATTAATTTATYTGCATAATTTAAAGTACACCTTCTCCACATTAGCACAATCCTACTCCTCAGCAAGAACATGATACAGCCATTTGATCTGAAACTCTTTAATCACTGGCTATCTTAAGTCATTTTATGCTGTACTTGTTACACACAGTTACTGAAGATTACCTGCAACAAGTTCACCTTGATCATGAACCTAAGTCAGCCTCCTGTGGCTTTTTTAAAGCACGTGCTTCTGTTAGAAGAAACACAAATACTAAAAAGAGCTGAGATTTGRGTAATGACAGAATTTTCTAAGTGCACCTTTTCAAAGAGCACTGGTGACAGTCCCTTTGGCCCTTTTGAGTGACAATCAACACATGCAGGTTCCCACTCCGGAGGAAATTCTGCAGATGGGACTTTTATAGTGTCACAAACTCAGAGCACACAAATGCTCTCTGTCCATTTTCCACCTCCAAATAATTTAATACTAATGCAGTTCATTCATAACACTCTTYTCCCAGCTAAGCACTGATTTCTTGCAAAAATTCCAAAATGCTGCTAACAAATCAAGGACTTTGACCAACTTATCTTTTGTGAAATAATAGAAGTGGGGGGGGAAAGAAAGTGGTAGAGGGAAAGATACCTGCTAATGTATTTGTAAAAGGGAGTTGAGAGTTTTTTACTGGAGCAAACAAAGAACAGGAGGACGAACAAAGAATCAGGAAGTAACAGGCCCAATATATCTTGGAAAGTCRAATCAAAGACAGATCACTGCAGTTCAGCGAAATGGCAGCTGTACTCACAGTGCTGGTGTTATTCTTAGCTGGTTTTCTTGCTGGATTTATATTGCTGATCATGGGGGCAATTAATTTTGATTTTTCCAACTCAAAAATTCCTCCTGGAGTGAACCAGCCTGCAAAGCTCCGARTCATTCATATAATTTTAATATGCACAGCTGTGGTGGTAAGTGAACCTGGTATAATTTCTGGGGGAAGAACAGTGAACCTTTAGATTTTAAACTTACTACAATGCTAGAAGCCTGCATGGAATTATGTTSCAGAGAGGAGAGCAGGGCATTGCTGACATGCTGCATGTTTTACGTAGTTGAGYGTTGCTAAAGAAACTTTTGCACTCTGCACTGCTCCAATCAAYTCCTGCCCAGCTCTATTTTCGGCAGTACCTAAATGCTGTGTTAACACAAGTGTGTGAAAGTCTGACTGTGCTTCTGCCCTGGCTCGAGCTGACCTAGTAATGATTTGATTATGTTTATCCATGTTGGATCATTTCTATTTCCATTCTGGGTTCAGACTATACCAGATGTCTTTGGGCTGTGCTTTCAAGTTTTTTCTTGGGCTTGGGGATAAGGAGTTATGTATTTATTTTGAATATAAAATGAGAAACCGAACATTTCAGAATTGGCCTTGGGAAGGGAGTGTTTCTGTCACACGAATGACAAAATTAGGTTAACATTGCCCAAGAGGAGCTGAAGGAATTCCTCTGCCCAAAGTACATTTATGTAACCCTGCAGCAACTAAACAGGTTTTTCTGATGGGAATGAGGGGCCCTGGCCAGCCCAATTTCTGCAGGTGAACCAGCCTGAAAAGTGTGGGAAGGTAACCAGTCTCCAAGGGCAGCACCCAACATCTGGTGAGCTCTGCTGACAGCRGAGCTCACTGAATCATGGGGATTTCTATGTAATGATAGGTGTAGAGATGCTCTGATAAGATATGGTCTTAGATGGCAGATAACAGAGATTGTGAATATATTTAATAAATTAATTTAATGGAATACCTGTAAAAGAGAGACAAACTATTTAAAATGTAAAAAGGAAAAAAAAAGAGAAAAAACTTCTCTGTCAGAAATACTCTAGATCATAGTGGAATTCTAGACACATGTTTTCATACTTTGGCTGCACAGAAGTTGTAATTAGAATGAGATTACAYCACTTAAGCAGCTGGAAAAGCCAGTTCTCTTTTTATCATCAATCCACTGCCCACTAGTACCATGAAACAGCTGCATTGTATGCTGCAATGTAAACAACATGGGGCAAAAGAAAACAAACAAGTTGAATGTAAAAGTTAAARTATTCTTTGTATTGTTCCATTCCTGCTTGGAGAATAGCAAATACAAAATAATAAATTGTTTTAATTGTTTATGTTTGTATACAACTGGAGACACTAAGACTAGTTTCTGTAACAAAATCAGTATATTGCAAAATGTTTTAGTTTCTTCAATAAATCTTTCCTCAAGATCAGGCATGCAGTATGTTATAAATACCTGTAACTGCTGAAGAAAAGGCCTTTCATAGACAAATTTATCAAGTGTCACRAACGCTATTGACAATCCATGCAAATGTGGCTGTCTAATAAATATTCATAACAGAATCCTCAATATTATGAACTWGATCCAAATGTTCCTAAGGACTGAAGTACTGGTTGGGATAGCTGACCAATGCATTTTAAAGCAGAGGCTCTGCCTTTTTTATTTTTTATGCAAACATAGGTCTGATTTGTATTCATTTTCTGCTGCTTAGCATGAATATCCCTATGGCACAGAGAAGGAATAGAGGTTTATTCCTACTAAATATCACAGGATCTTCTTGTCAGGGCATGGCACAAGTCCCACATTGGTGGGACTTAGGAGATGGATCAAAAACCAATTATCAAATATATTCTTAATTCAGTCAACTCTATTTTGAGCAAGTGTCTGTACCATAAAAATCAACACCAGAATGCTCATCTTTTACTATGTTTTCCCATCTTCCAGGGGGACAAAGATAGAATAACCAGTGAAAACCAAACTTGCTTTCAATGTTAGGTAAAGGACTTGCTGAGGAAGCAGAGGGATCTGTTACCCCAGTTTGTTAATGCTGCATKGTTTGGGGTTCTGTTCTCTGGTTCATGTGACTCTCATAACCTCTCCTGATGCTGCTGCTACTTGTTCAGTTTTCCTATACCTGTACAATTACTCTCTTACTTTATGACTGCCCTGAAATACATGACTTAGGCACTGTGAGTTTGCTATCCACACAGTTCCTTTCCTTTGGAAAATACAGGATCTCTTGAGTGAGCTTTCTGTTCTCTTTGCCTTTGAACAGGGAAAGATTTTGGAAAACATTGGCATCTGCACTCAGGTGAGCTTTGTCCGGTACATGCAAGGCAGAAAGACTCTGGGGGCGGACCCGAAGCTCTTCATCAAGGATCTGTGCTTTGAGAAAGTGCCTGTAAGGATTTACCAGCCTAAGGCTCCCCCTGCCAGCCAAAGAAGAGGAGTTATGTTTTTTCAYGGAGGAGGATGGGTATTTGGAAGTCTTGGTAAGATACCTAACAGAAAAAATATTCTAGTTTAGWTAAGGAAATACATACTGCATAAAYAGCAAAGYTGTTTCTTGATCTGTAGTAGYTGCAAACTTTGAATATAACTACAGGTTCAATATCATAATTCTTGCTGCTGGAAGAAAGCATCTGCTGTGGATCACATGATTTTTCTTAAAGGACAGTGATATAAGGGGAAGAAATACTGAAATAGGAAGATGGGGGGTACAAAAGAACTGGGGAGCTGTGTAGAAAGCAGCAGAGAAAAGTAGAGAGTATTTTCTTCCTGCAAGTTTTTGACTTCTCCAATAGACAACATCTCTGAAGAGAAAATGCACCCTAACCCAAACCCAAACCCCACCAAATATCTTTCAGAGACCCAYGAAAAGCTGTGCCGCTTTATCGCCAGAGAAAGTGAATCCGTGGTTGTGTCTGTGGGGTGAGTCTTTCCTCATGCAAGTTTTGGGGATTATTTGCTATAGTTGCCTCCTGTCYCCCCAGTCATAGCAAGGGCCTTCCTCAGAGAAATGTCTCTGCGGGACTTCTCAAGTGTCTGATTTACAAATACATTCTGCTGCTGTTTGGAGCTGCTGAAGACTCACTTGGGCTGTTTTCACTGCCTGTTTTCACTGTGATTACATCACAAAACATACTTCATGATATCCAGYTGGAAAATGAAGTTTTGAATCAATGTTTTCAAATTCCAAACTCAAAACCGATAGTAAATAGATAGTAAGCTATATGRTCTCCTTAACACATACTCAGGGAAAGCCTGCTTGATGCTTAGAGAAGTGCAATGGCAAGCATATACATTATTAAAATACTGGCATAATGATTCAATTTATGAGGATATATAACAACTATATGTAACAGAGACATAAACCAGAAGTATTGTCTTTTCTGTCCAATCCATGAATAAACTGAAGCGGAAAGTAACTAAATGATTGTACCAACAAAACCAATATACAGTTGGCCACTGAGTATTGTGTTGTTAAAGACCAAACAGACATCATAAACAGATGAGATCATARCAAAACAAACTTCTCTCTCAAATTACTCACATCTTATTATTGATAATCCYATGGAGACAGTGAAAATTCTGCAGACATCAGGGTATTCCTAGCTGCAGGAACCAGTGTATCAATACACTTAAAACTAGTATTTCCTTCTCTTCCACTTGTCTCTCTGCATCCCAGGTACCGTTTAGCCCCTGAACACAAATACCCCGCTGCCTATGAAGACTGTCTGAACGCCACCCAGCACTTCCTGCAGCACCTGGAGCTCTACGGCGTGGATCCTGCCCGGGTCATTGTCTGTGGGGACAGCGCTGGGGGCAACCTGGCAGCTGCTGTGAGCCAGACCCTGGCAGGCAGCTCAGAGCAGCCCAAACTCCGTGCTCAGATCCTCATCTACCCAGGCCTTCAGGCMCTGGACTTCAATTTGCCATCCTATCAACAAAATCAGCGAGTCCCTCTGTTATTCCGGGAACGTGCTGCTTTCTATGTGTTGCAGTATCTAAATGGAAATGCAATAAATCTGGAGGAGGTCTTGGAAGGTGCCCATATTCCTGTAGATATTAAATTAAATTATAGGAAGTGGGTGAATCCMAATAATATCCCTGAGGAATTTAAGGTCAGAGGCTACAAACCACRTGTGCTACTTGACTGTACAACTGAAGTTTTTGAGAAAATGAARAGATTCTGTGAGCCCACCCTSTGCCCACTGCTGGCTGAAGACACAGTTATTCAGCAGCTGCCAGAATCTTTCATCCTGACCTGTGAATATGATGTGCTGCGGGACGATGGCTTGTTGTACAAGAAGAGGCTGGAGGACAAYGGGGTTCSAGTGACCTGGTACCACCTTGAGGATGGATTCCATGGAATCATAAACGCATTGAATAGTGAGTGGCTGCCATTTCCAGCTGGAAAAAGGGGTCTTGATCATATTGTGAATTTTTTAAGAAGCTTATAGTGAACATTTTTCTTCGTTTCTGTAAGAACTGATAGATTTCTGCAGTCTTTTATGCTTCTAAATTCCATACAGGAAGTTTAGATAGAGCAATTTGTTAATAAGAAAYTAAGCCAGTGTGATCACTGTAAAAGATATTTCAAAAATACTATGAATGKTTTTTTTTTACTGCTGTTTGAAGTTGTCCATTCAGTCTGCCTATTTTAATCATCAGTTTGGACTAGACACTTGCTACTCTCTCAGTACATATAAAAGATACAGTAAAATTTTAAGCCAACATCTGGTCTGATCTATTTCATTCAATTATAATCAATGGTTTCATTTTTCCTAGAAATGGTGTTTTGGCAAAGGAGAAAGACACTGACACTTCAGTGCTATAATGCACAGCCTGCGCTCTCTGCTAAACGTAGCACCTGAGTTTAAGATTCCCAGTCAACAATCAGAAGATGTCTGTGGGCTGGATAACTGGTAATTTAGACTCAAAAAAAGGAAGTCAYRTTAGTTAACTTGACAGTTAGAACTRCAACTGTCCCCAACAGAAATACTCTATTGACAGCTTTGTTTAAATTACAATGGGGAAAATGCTTTAAGCGTTTTCCTGTGTTTATCAAACATATGGGTATGCTGAAAAGCTCTTTCTTGTGCTTGAATAGAATCCTAAAATCACAGAATGGTTTGGGTTGGAAGGAACACTAAAGCTCATCTTATTCCAAACCACTGCCATGGGCAGGGACACCTGGTCTARCCTAGGGTGCTTCAAGTCTGAAATAACCTAACAACAAAATAAGACTGATCCATTTACTTTTGCATGTTACTTATCTTCCACTCCACATACCCCTCACGTGTTAGTTCCCATTTTATTTTCTAAATGTCCTTGTTAAAGTATGTATTCCAAACCATGTAAAGCATGCCCACATGGCAGGAAGCAAATGTTGTGACTGCAGATCAGCTGCAATTTAATCTCCATGTTCACTGGCTCTCCATCACGGACTAGAATTTCATTCAGGAAGAATTCCATATTCAATACCAGACCCTTTATCAGTCACACAATTATCAYAAAGATAAACAGGAAATTAAACACATTGATTCTTCTCCAATGTGATAACTAGTGGCACGTTGCCCAACATGTCCAAAGACTTTAAAGTGAGCAACACCTGAGAGATCTCTTGCAGCTGGGACCGCTCTAGGGCTTACTGTTACCTCAGACAGCCAAATCACAAATAGGTGTGAAGACACATCACTTCTGGATACGTGAAATGGCTTATTTTTATCTACTGCCAGTAATACTGCTGGTGATTTTCGTTGCTTCATTCATATTAGCAATCAGAAGAACAATTCAAACTGAGTTTGCCAATTGTAGCATCCCTCCTGAAGTGAACAATCCTGGAAGACTTCGAATTATTGTTGCTCTTTTGATCGTTTCATCTACCCTGGTGAGTAACTCTGCCATGACTTCTGCCAGAAATGCTAACAGATGTTATTTTTGTTGTATGTGTAAATACCAGAATCCTGCTGCCTGCATCAAGGGTTAAATGATAGCTTTTCTTTTTGAGGGGCTGACTTCAGAGAACAGTTTTTGGAAAATCATTTCTGTTAGACCTCAGGTAGAGTTTCAGCCAGATTTTCCCTATTAYGTAGGGATTAAGTCAACCATAAGAGCCCAAGCTTTATCAGCTGAGCTTCCCTAACTGAATTTTAAATTAAATATTTATAAGAAGTGAGACTGCTTTGATTTCCACTGTAGCTAAGCACACATGATGTTTTTTAGGCCATTCTTGGTGCTTTCCAGTAACATGGAAGGTTGGGTAATGGAAGCACCAGTAATGGAAGACTGGGTGCTTTTTAAGAAGATAAAACCATAAACCCCAAAACTTTAGAGGGATGAGTCACTTGGGAGCATTGACAAGTGCCATATCACCAGGTGACCCTTCACGAATTGTCCTTCACTCACCAGGAGGCCCCTCATCAACTGCCCCTCAGCAGGTGCCCCTTCACTGGGTGTTCCTCACCAACCGCCCTTCCCCAGGTGCCCTTCAACAGTTTTACTTCTCCAGGTGCCCGCTTGCCAGTCGTCCTCCACCAGTGGCCCCTCATCGGTCTCCCCTCA